TCCTGTATGAATTCTTTGATGCGTAACAAGCACAGACGTGTTACCAAAGGCTTTGCCACATACAATACATCGGTACGGTTTCTCTCCTGTATGAAATCTAGAATGTTTATAAAGGGATGAGCTGTACCTGAAGGTTTTCCCACATTCCTTACATTCAAACGAGTTCTCAAGTGTATGTGATTTCACATGTTGGGTAAAGGAGGAGTTCCAAGTGAATGACTTCCCGCACTGATGGCATTCGTACGGTTTCTCTCCCGTGTGGAGTCTCTGGTGGACCACCAGTTGTGCTTTATGCATAAACGCTTTCCCACAATCATTGCACACAAAGGGTCTCTCTCCATTATGGATTTTCTGATGAGTTGCAAGGTGAGCCTTCCTGCTATAGGCTTTCCCACAGTCATTGCATTCAAAGGGTTTTTTTCTTGTATGATTTTTTTCATGTCTAATGAAATGAAACTTCTTTTTGAAGGCTTTCCCACATTCAGTGCATTCATATGAGTTTTCTTCCGTATAACATCTATTATAATTAAGTAAATCTAAAGTAGGTTGCAAGCTCTTCCCATATGATTTACATTTATATGATTTTTTTCTTGTAGGATTAAGACTTGTGCTCATGTTATAACCATGGAGTCTCTCCACAGTCAGAATTTTATTGAACGTGAACAAAACTGAATTCAAAAAATTGTCTTTGCTTTCCTGGTACTTCTCTGATTCATCAACAAGTAGGCAATCAGCTTCTAAAAAGGAGTACAATAAAACATGGCTCTGTTAATTTTTTCCATACCAGTTATAGAAAGAAACATTATTTCAAATCTAGTATCTAATTCTGAAACAAATCCTGTATTTGCTTCCCTCCTGAGCTTTAAGAATACAACTGCTGAAGAGGAAATGGGAGCAGATGCATGACAATAATGAGAATAGATGGTTTAACTTGTGACCTATGGGAAGATTGTGAAATAGGCACAAGTTACAGTGAATAGGGTACAAACATCGAGGCCTGGTTATCTCACATGAAGAGAGCCCACTGAGGAGATCTGACCAATGGATGAGGTGACCCAAAGAACAAGATACTAGGAGCTAAGGGAAGATACCAGAGGAAAAACTAGATCTGGAGGTGGCAGATCTAGAATCCTCACTACTCCAGTCCTAGATTACCCTGATGGGAGGGCTCCCCATTTCCCTCATTCACATCTCTTTTTCCTCTTAATCACCTGGCACAACGGCAGTTACCTTCAGGAACACTCTTATATTTCCAGTCCTCTAACTCCATCCGTATCACAAATGAGACAGGCCTACAGACAGGGCTCTAACTCTGCAACAGCTGGGATTCATTCTCCCACGTACTTGTAAGTCCAGGCACAGATTCTGCCTGCTTGCTATTGCTTTTATTCTGGCTGCGTTTCTTTCTTTTTTGGAGCGGGGGGGTTCTATATATGACCATTTGTCATATTTGTATTTGACAAGTACTGTTTTTACATTTTCTTTCAAACTACCTAACAAACTAGTCCCCAGAAAGCTGCTGAAGTCACTTTTCTTTGTCCTGAAGTCACATTTTTTTCATTCCTAACCTCAAAACCCTAAAAATCTCCAACCCATTTCTCCATTAAAAAGGGGGGACACCTGGCTGGCTCAGTGAGAGGAGCATGAGGCTCTTGATCTCAAGGTCATTAGTTCAAGCCCCACACTGGGTGCAGAGATTGCTTAAATAAATAAACTTAAAAAAAAAAAAAAACTAGGGAGAAGGGGTTATATTCCCCACTCCTGAGTTTCCCTCCTTGTGGAATGTTAGTACCACACCCCCCAACTTCTTGCTTCATGCCTCATTCTTCTCTGTGCAGCTGCCCCGAGTAGCGGGCTATAGCCATTAGTGCACATTTCTTTATGGGGATTGGGGTTCCTGTCTTCTTTCCTCTCTACTTCAACTAATGGGAAGCAGCATCCTGTGTTACCTCAACTAGCAGTAACCAACTGAAAAATCCAAGGCACTCAGCCTGGTGAACAAAACTATACATTATAATGAATTCACTCATGGTATCTAAGTACACATTCTTCTCATCCTGAACAAATACTTTCTGTTCCAAGAATTCTAGACTCTAAATAACTACAATATTTTGCTCATGTCTCTTCCCCACCTTAACATGCCCTATCTCACTCCCTCTCATCCTATCTGGTCCTTAGATATTCTTTAGGGAGGAGCCATTGTTCCATGATCTCAAAAAAAGACTCCTCTAATCTTTGTATACTTTAAACTTTAAGCTCCATTTTCTCTGAATTCCCAAGATAGTCACCACTGCTCCCCAAAACCATTCATTCTGACAATTAACTAGAACAAAAATGGCAATGTTATTGTGCATTGAACAAATATTCCACAATCCTAAAACTTTAAAATGTTTTATATGGCTGTTTTTCCTTTCAACTACAACTTACA